CCCCCTCCTCCACCCACCCCACACCCCCAATTGCACCTGCAAAAATTCGATTCTGCAATGGTCTTTGGACTATCTTTTGCCTGCACTCAACACTTAAGTCACCATTGAAGGTGGACAAGTCGAACACAAAGGAGGTTTTATTAACGTTAATCGAAGTCATGTCTATGCAATCAGTTGGGATGAGGGAGAAAATTGGCATGAAAGCAGAAATTAATTATTATCGATTGTTTATCTCTATGAAGGACAACGGAGTTATACACCCCATGAGGGCTACCATCAGACCAATTAGGGAGGAAATCATCATGAGGAGGGCTGTTTAGAGCAGAGGAGTAATGATTCTTGGAACTAGGAGAATTCGATTTCTTCTGAGTTTCAGTTTTGTCAGTTCAACAGCCCTTCCTAGATAGAGCTTAATCAGACTTAGCCTTTCATTCAATCTTTATGGTTTCCATACGAAAACCTGAGTGACATCATTTCATCCGATTCTCACCACTCTCTTTGGCACTAAATAGTCATGGCGTCAGTCTACTTGTCAATGGAGTGCACCTGACGACAGCTGATCTTTGCGTTCGCGGTGATCGATCAACTAGACGTGCATGTGCAAAGAGACAACAGCATCGAGAGTCCACATGTGCATTTTAGCTCTTACACAACCCAACCCTAACCCCCCCCCCACAAACACACCCCCACACCCACCCACCCACACACACTCACACACACACAAAATTACGGTTGATATTGGGAACTGCGAGGAAAGATATTCTTACCTGGATTCATCATCAAAATGTCTGCATCCTTCAAGCCCAACACCTGTTTCGGCATTCGATTTAAGTGACCTCAATCGAGGGTTTGTGCATACAGACTTAATGTAACCTAATTCTATTAAATGGGCGTTTTGCAACTATTTGGACAAGATATCAGAATTAAGAGATCATTCGTAATTTTCAGCAGTACTTTATTTCAACTAAATCGGAACTCCCTCTGCAAAAATAGCGCAAGTAGGAAGTGAATTCGGTTATTTATCTTTTCCACAAATACGAAAAGCTTTGTCTTCACTCAACATGTGATTCGAATTTGCATGTAATAGTGTGGCAATGGGAGTAAACAGAATACTTGAATAATGTTCTACTTGGCGAAGTTGTAATTTATCAGTCTATTGGTGGGTCCAATACTCTCACATGTGGAGATCGAAACACACCAATCCTGATCAAACACGCACATTGTCTGCGTTTGAACATGAGTTTGTGATTTAGTTGCAGTGACAAAGAAGTCCAAGGAATGTGGATGATATAAACATACTGGCGTATTGCGGAAAGATACCACCTAACTTTGACGCAATGAGTTAATGAGTTCATCAATTCCACTTCTGAAACATGTCAGTTAATATCTATGAGGTTCTAGCGTTGAGACTTATTTAACATTTTAATCGGTTGTAACTTTATCGAAAAGTTTTCACAGACATTTGCTTTGCTAAAAGTGATATCCAGTTAGGGACTACTTAGTTTAGAGCTTTTAGTTTCACCAGCTAACGCTGAACATTTATTCATTTATATCTAATGGCAGGCGTTTTGATAGTTATCATTAGCCCTTTAGCTGACTACGGGCTTCACAGGGGGAAGGAACATCAAAATAGTAGAAAGTCGAG